CAGCAGCCGACACCTCTGCCCCCAGCTGACCCCCAGGTGCTGGGAAGAGTCAAGACGAGGGCAGTGAGGGTGCAGGGCTGTGTCACGGGCACGTGCTCCTGCTGTGGCCTTCAAGGCCCACCCCAGGGTGACCCGTGGCAGGAATCAGTGCTGGGGAGGACCTGGAGCTCGCTGCCTCCGTCTGCCGGTTGGTGTTTGATGATGATGTGCCATTTAGTCTCATCAGTACCTCCTGCCGCCTTTGCTAGTGCATTTTAGTGTCCGCTCCCCCCTGGGAAGCACACGGTTGCCACAACTGTGCTGTCAGAAATCCAGTGCTGAACGTGGACCTGAACGTCTGAATCTCCACGCGTGACTTGCTCTTGAGAGTCGGTTCTCTAAAAAGGAGTCGGACGCTGTCTCTGATCAGGCAAAGGCAGTGTTTGGGGATGAAACTGAAGGAATTTCAAGGACAGAATAATTTTGCACTTGTGGAGCGAGGGCGGCCTCTGGTCCTTTGGACCACCCCCCTTGCGGCTGGCAGAAGCAGCCCCTCCCTCACAGGCAGAGCCAAGGGCTCCCTGCTGTCTCCAGCCAGCACCTGCCAAACACCTGCCTGCCAGGTCAGGCCACCAGGGGGCGCCTCTGTTCACGCAGAGAGCTGCAGCCAAGGGGAAGGGGCCATGGGACATGGACAAAGCCATCCCAGCGGTTAACCAGCCTGTCAGGTGGCAGCCCTGTCCCTCTGCAGGAGGAGATGACTGCATAATTCAAGACGGCAAGCTCACTGGCACCTTGTAATTCTTTCATTTTGCTTCAGAGGGGCTCATCTGGCTGGCTGTGGTGGTGACAGGGTGATGATCATTTGTTTGGGCATGGAGCACAGAGAGTGATGTGACAGGAAGATGATAGGAACGTATGTGTGGAGGGCCCGGCACGTGTCAGTCGAGTCACTGTCCTTCTCTGTCATCTGGAAGGAACAGGGCAGCAGGATGGGACACCACCCTGCTAGGGGGACCAGGGAGTTCTCCTCAGAGTCCTGGTCACGGGCCGGGGCAGGCGCTGAGGAGGGCAAGCCCACAGGGGGTGGGACGCAGCACTGGCACGACCTTGGCTTGAAGCTGGCCTGTGAGGCTCCACAGGGGCTTCGAGGCTGCGACCAGAGCTCCAGTGGGTGGGGAAGTGTGCCTGCCGGAAACGCCAGGGCAGGCGGCCAGTTGTCCACTCACTCTGCAGACTCGGCGCCAGGTGACTGGTGGACTGGAGCCCAGCTGGGGTTGCAAGGGTAGTGTGGCCACTACCACAAGGGTAGTGTGGCCACTCCACCGCGCCACCAAGGAAAGACTCGCCCCACACTGAGCTGACACAGAGCTGAACAGAGCACAGGTGTCGCCTGCAAAGCTCAGATTTAGGGCATTGTGGCCCCTCGAATAAGATGTTCCTGAAGTTTGGGGGAGTGTGTAGACTGCTTTCTCTTGGTGGTCAATGTCATGCATTTCTGAGGAAAGGCGCTGGGAAGTCCTCTGGGGACACTCATTTGCTACATTTGCTGCGTAGCCCTTTCTCCACCGAGCCCACGGACCAGAATTCCTTGGACCCAGTTTAGGAATGCTGGCTTAGGGGGTCACCTGTCACTGCAGACCCCCAAGGAAGAAAACCATCACCAACCTCGGGGGGAGGCACTGGCAAGAGCAAAGCAGAGCCCTGGGCTCCGAGGGACTGGGATTAGGATAGAGCCAGGATCCTAGAGGAGGACCAGGGTATGCAGGGAGAACCAACGAGCAGAACTTGTGATCTCCACAGCGGAAACCCAAAGCTGCACACGGCACCGTGTGTGCAGGGCGGGAGAGGGCGAGGCCAGCCCCTGGAGATCTGGACACCAGGCTCCTCCTACTGGGCCGGGTTCCAGGTTCTGTGGCCGACTTAACCCTCCTTTGTCCTCCCCACTGCCATGATTGGCTCAGAACCACCTGCAGCAGGGTTTGAAAATAAAAGGCCTCATTTTCTAAACAGTGATCTACCAGGCCCTGTGCCTAGTCCTTTAGGTAGAGTATCCCGTCAAATCCGCATAATGACCAAGAGGAAGGTGGTGTTAATGTCCTCATGCTGCCCACGGGGAGGCTGAGGCTCAGGGAGGCTGAGCAAAGAGCGAACCCAGACCCGTGGCCCTAAAGTCGTCTTCTTCAGTCTCCCAACCTGTTTACGTGCCTGGTCTCCACAGATGGGGGATGTGCTCAGGGATGCGCTCAGGAGGGATCCAGCCACGTGTCCACGTCTGGGTGAAGGCAAAGTAGGGCTGAGACGAGGTTCAGTTACTCCCCAACAATTCATTTAAATAAGATATTTTCTGTGCAACCAGGGGAATATTCCAGGGTAACCTTATCCATATTGTGTTAGCAAATCCATGAAAACCAAGGTCTTCTCAATGCATTTCCTGTTGGAAACTGGAGGCTCGTGGGCCTGAGGGGTTTTTCTCTTCCCTGCGTATGTCAGTCATGAGTCACAGAGACTTCATTTTCCCACTTTCCTTTCCTTGTTCGTCTCTGACTTCAATTAAAGGCAGATTGAGTCAGGCACGGACTCAGTCAATTAAGTGCTCATTAGACACTAACTGAGGAAAAGGAACTGTGTCAACCACACTTAACCCAAGATGGGGGGGGGGGATTGATGGGGTCAGGGCCTCCTCACGCCTGTGGCCATGCGGAGCTCACTCAGCCTGTCCAGCGGTGAGATCAAAGGCCTGGAATCTGCCTCTGATGATCTGATGGAGGCCCCGAGAGAGGCCAGTCGTCTTCCCAGAGTAGACAGGCAAGATTGGAACTGGCCACCAGGACCCGGGGTAGAGAGCCTGGGCCCAGCATGGCCCACTGGAAAGACAACCGTGTTGCTGGGTGTCATCTTTCAGAGCCCGGGACAGAATGGGGCTGCACCGGCCAAGAATGACCTACTCTTACCCTAGACCCGAATGCTTGCCCTAAAACAGTTTCAAGGGCAAAGCAACAAGACAGATTTCTTTTTAAAGTGTGCCTGTAGCACCTGGCTGAGTGACAACATCAGTGAAGCAGGACTACCTACCATCCAGCTTTAGGGGGGCCAGATTCCCTCTGCTCCCCCCATCAGTCAAGCCAAATGGCTAATAAGGGTTCCCATGGCGAAGAAAAAATAAAAGTGCTTTCATGATCAGAGAAGCATGTTCCTTAAGGAAAGGGGCCTGCGGTGGGTTGAGCTGTAGGTGAACTGGCTTCCTTTGTGTACCTTCTACAGAGGAGTATTCTGGCTGGAAGCCAGAGCCATCTGCTTCCACCCCCTACCGGTGAGGTCACAGAATGAGGAATGACAGCCAGGCAGGTCATCCTGAGCCAGACATGGCAGCCACACAGTCAGGAAAATGAGCAGGCACACCTGTCTGATTGAGCTCTGGACCATGTTTCTCTGGGTACTTGTAATTGTGCTCTTTCTAAATTAAATCTTAATTGCAAAGCAATACACCCACCTCGTGAAATTAACCAAAACATCACCTATTAAGCTAATGCCGTCCCTGCCCACCAGGCCTAACCCCAATCCCTTCTCTGCTTCCTCCAGTCAATCACTGTTACTGCCTGAAGTTCACCTGCACAGACCGTCTTTGCATTTGTAAACATAAACTATACCTGCAAAATAGATGCGCGTTGTGGAGCTTCGTGCACATAAGCAGGTTTGCAGAAGCAACGTCACTCATGTGGATAACAATCTCCAACCTGGTGCTTTCTACTTAGTATTCACCCTGGAGAGTTTTCCGTGTCAGCACTCCTGAGTGCTACCCCCTGTTTTAGATTGCCGCACAGTACTTCACGGAGTGAAGATAACCATCATTTATTGTTTCCCCTCCTGTTGGACAGCTAGGTTGTTTTGTTTCCAAATTTCTTTTTTATTTTTGGTACTGAGGATTGATCCCAGGGGTGCTCAACCACTGAGACATATTCCCAGCCCTTTTTTTTTACATTTTGTTTAGAGACAGAGCCTCACTGAGTTGCTAAGTGCCTTGCTAAGTTGCTGAGGCTGCCTTTGAACTCATGATCCTCCTGCCTCAGCCTCCCAAGCCACTGGGATTATAGGCAGGCACCACCAAGTCCGGCTGTATGTTTCCAAATGTCTGATCATGACCAGTGATCTTTCCATGGACCTGCTTGCACAACCCCCTTGGTGACAAGTGTGAGTACTTCTTGAGAGCTTTTTTCTAAATCTACAGCCCAGCTGTCCTTGAAATTCCATCTACTCCTTCCCCTTCATACCAGCTGGGTGTGAGCGAGGCCCACGTCCCACCCCTTCTCAGCCTTGGCATAAGCACCCTGTGAGCACGCTGGTCAGGGAACTGGATGCTGTTCCTGGGCCTCCTGTTGTCTGTGAGAGAGTGTGACCTGAAGAGCCTGTGGGTGTGGCTGCCCCCAGTAGGAGCCCAGTTGACGCTGGCTCCGCCTCTTTTTTCCTGAAGCAGCTTTGCCTGGGCAGTGCCCTCTGCTTCACCTGCTCACGGCTCCTCACCCCGGAGGTGTCCACTGGACCACCTTCTCTGAGCCCCGGGCCAGCTGAGGCTGTGCTGTCTACAGTGGCCTCCTCAGTGCCCTTGGTGTGATTAATGCTCACCTCTCCTGCTAAGGACCAGCTCCAGGAGAGCAGGGGGCGCCTTATGCGTCTCTCCCCCCAACACCTGGCCCAGGCACCCACGGCCCGCACTCCCTAAGAGCCTTCACCCTGAAGGCCACTGTCACAGAGCCACATCCACAGTGAAGAGCCATGGAAACAAACTGTACATGAGCAGAGGAAAGATTAAGCCGTCACTCTGCTGAGCAGCAGCCATTTCTTTATTTCAGGCCTTTTAATGGATGGAGCGGGAAGGAGCCGAGCACTGCAGGGCTTGGGAGATGCCTTTCCTTTTTAATTTGGAAAGTGATTGGCACTTCATTGCATTGCCCCCGGGGAGGGGCCCTGAGCGTCACCGACCCTCCGTAACCATCTGCCACCCTTGGGTCCTGCCCCTGCAGGGACCACGGTGATGCGGATGACAGCCTTCGACGCAGATGACCCGGCCACCGACAACGCCCTCCTGCGGTACAACATCCGTCAGCAGACGCCTGACAAGCCATCCCCCAACATGTTCTACATCGATCCTGAGAAAGGAGACATTGTCACCGTGGTGTCACCTGCGCTGCTGGACCGGGAGGTGAGCTTCCTTTCTCATGAGAATAGAGCAGGCTCTCCCGCGGGGGAGACAGAGCCAGGTGCTCCTTGTGGTTGGGGCAGAGCGGCGGCGTCTGGGTGTGGTTGGCAGAGAGGCCGGACACAGGGAAGTGGGCTGCGATGTGGCCTAAGGAGAGGCCTCGGGAGGCCCTGTGACCCGCGCCCTGTGCTCCTCAACCCCATGACGGCTTCCTCCCCTCCCTCCTATTCTCTTGGCCCTTGTGGTACTGGACACTGCAGACGGGAGCCGGCAGGGGGCGGAGGCAGCTCTGCAAGGTCACCAGGCTGTCCTCAGGAGCAGCAGCGGAGTCTCTCTTCCGGTCCCCCGTCCTTCCCTTTAGGTTTTCTCTGAAATCTTGCCTGTCACACGTCACAGCCGGGTATCCTGGACCCCACCAGTCCACACACCAGCTCTTGATTTTGCCCAGGATTTTGAAACTTTTAGAATTGCTGGCCATAGCAAAATACTTGCCTTTTATATTTCTTTGAAATAATTCCTGTTTCCAGGTTGTTTTTTTTTAAATGAGAAATTCTGGAAATCTTGAGCCAAACTTCCACACTCATACAATCAGGCACATGAGGTGAGATGGCTGCGGGGAGCTGGGTGTCAGCTGTCCCATTTAGACTGAGCAGGTCCTTTCCCATCTAAATGTGCCCTCAGTCCCCGCCCTTTCCTGGCTCCAGGTCCCACTGGTAGCTTGTCATCAGACACCCAAGTGGAGACCCTGTAAGCCTCCAAACACAGCACACCTGACCCAGCCCGTGCGTCCCCTCCTCCACCCCACTTCCATCTGCCCGCATCCTGCAGTCCACGGTCCTGGCTCGGTGCTCAGGCTGAGCCCTGGGAGTCACCTCCACCTGCGGCTGGCCCTCTTACTCCGAGATCCCCAAGGGCTTCCCAGTGGCTCCATGCGTTTCCCCAGGGCTCTGGATGAAGAGCATTCATGGGTTACAATGTCCCTGCCTCCCCCTTCCTCCGTGTTCCTGTGTAGAGTTTCTTAGAAGATTCTGGGTTCCATCAAGCTCTCTGAGAAGCCATTCCCATCCTCCAAGTCACCCACAACCCTGCCAGTCCTCCAGTCTCTGACTATCCCTGCAGCCAGCCCATGGCCTGTATTGTGTGCTCCTTTAAATTGTAGCTTGTCCCTCTAAAGAATATCCCCTTTGTCGTGGGCTAGAGCTGCACCATCCAGTAAGTCATCATCACTGTACTTGTGTAGATTAATAATCTGTGTTGATTAAGATGTCGACATCAGTGTTGAGGTCACCTGGCCCCATTTCAAGGGCTCGGCAGGCACACGTGGCTGGTGACTGCTGTGGTGGACGATCCTATCACGACACAAAGCTCTGCTGGGCAGTGCCAGCCGAGACTGTGCCTGTCCTAGGTGTGTCCGTAGCCCTCTCCCTAACACAGCGTGCGCTTCTCAGAATCCTCATTGCATGTTTGTTGGCACAGAGGTACAAAGGCAGGAATTAATTGGAAATGACCCTGAGATGGTTGTTGTCGAGGGCTAGGAAACTGCAGCAAGCAGCGGAAAATTATTGGACGGGGAAAGAGAAATTTGCATTAAATGGTGGTTGTCACTTGGAAAACATAATTGTTTCTAGTTTTAAAAAAAGTAGAAAATTATTGAGCCCGTTTCCTTCATTTTGTCCCCCACCCGCTCCCCAGCCCTCCCTGTCTGACGATGGCCACGTTTTCTTCTTTGGAGGCAAGCGATGGCTTCCGGTCAGCTCCGTGTCCTCCATCCAGCACACATGTGTGCAAACACACAATCACACACCATCTCTCTTTGTCCCCCCCCTCACACACACACATGCACGCGTGTATACACACACACACACACACACACACACCAGCTTCCCTCAAACCCCAGATTCCCCGAAAGGTCCTCGCAAGCTCTTCTCCTCGCAGGGGAAGATGAACTGCGGTGATTTCCCCATCTCAGCTTCTCTTTGTTCTCAGAGAAAATGTTTTATGACTCTTTTTACAAACGGAAGTGGGGATAGAGAATGCCGCTGCCTTTGGTTCGTCTACTTGGAGGACAGACGTGTTTCCGGCTCACACTCTTCTCACCTGGCTTTCTCGGGCCCAGTGAGGGCGTCACCGTGAGCCAGCGTCTCGGAGCACCGCGCATCAGCGGCCCCGAACATAAACACAACTCAAGTGAAACTGGAAGATCAATGAAGACGCATGAAGGGTGTCCCTTTTCCCTGAGGGTGTCCAGGGTTCAGTGCTGATCCAGGCCACGTCAGCACAATCTGGGGGAAAGAAACGGGATCTGGGGGGGTGGCTGCGGGTGCAGGGCTAAGGGGCTCCAGGTGGCTGAGCGCCCAAGTCCAGCTCCGCGTACCTAAAGGGACAGACCTGCACATGGGTTTTCTGGTGGTGTCCCCGCCGTTCACGAGGCCGTCATCTCCCGAGGCTGGGCTCCTTCCCTAGGAGTCCCATGGAGGTGGCAGTTTTCTTCAGCAGGACTGTAGAGACATTTTTCGTTTTTATTTTTGGAGAGCGGCTGAGGAGGCATCCTGCCCTCAGTGTGCTTTTCAGAGTCCAGCCCTGGGCCCGCGGGGTGCTCAGCACAGAGCTACGAGGTGTGCGTTTTCAAGAGAACACTTGGTTGGGGGCCTATGGACTTCGGCTGATTCCTGTGGATTGTGAGTGTGGCAGCCCATCTTCCCTCTCAGATCTCAAATGGCGTGCGTGGGTGTGGCCCGTGGCAAGTGCAGACAGAGGTCCTCAGTGTGGTGAGAGAGGCTGCCGAGGCCCTGCGGAGGCTGTGCAGTCTTTGGGGAGTGGAGCTGGTTGGTTCCCACAGCTCTCTTGACAGGTTGTTGAATTTCCATGTTGATTTCCCAGGGAGTGTGTTTACTTTCACGAGCCCTTGTCCCAAGAGGGACCCCAGCAGGAGGTGTCTCTGCTCGGGGGAGAGACAGAGATGACCCACATGTCCAGGGAGGACACAGCTGTTGTCCTTCCTCCTCCCATGCTCCCACTCCCCAGGATGTCCCACCTGGGCCAGTGTCAGCAGAAGCCCACGCTGATCTGCTGTGCTCCCCACTCCAAGGTCAGGAGGAGAGAGCTTCTGTCCACCCTGTTCCAGGCCTAGACCCAGCCCTTAGCGCGTGAGAAATTCTTGGGGAAAAAAAATGTTTGTTGAGAGGAGAAAGGAAGGAAGGATGTGAGAGAGGGAGTGCCATAGCTGAGTTGCAAGATCAGGTGAAGCAGCTGTTTACTCTCCCCCACGTCACAAACTCATCTTGATGTCACTAACAGACACCATGTCACTCACAAACCAGGTGTATTTTCCATTGCAAGCTCATCATACGCTGTGTCTGAAACCCTGCCACTTCCTGAGGCAAGGGACCTTGGACCTTTGTCCCATAGACCTATTGCCATTACCCCATATAGTGCAGGCATGTAATAGCCATTTGGTAAAGATGTGCTGGATGGATGGATGGATGGATGGATGGATGGATGGATGGATGACCTATGTTCCTCCAGTTTGCATTAACTCAGAACATACCACAAGACCCACATTCTAGTTGGATATATAAACAAAAGAAATTATCTTAGTTGAGAGCTTTGTCTTATCCTTATATAATCAACCAATAATCTAATTTATTCACCTAATATCTATCCCATGCCAGGGACAATAGTAAGCTCCAAGAAATAGTACTTGGTCTGCAAAGTGAGTGGTTGCACATGAGGATCGGTGCCTCTTGCTTAAATATTTGGGAGAAATATTTGTAGAAAATAAGGGCCATATATCCAAGTAAATGAAACTGGGTTCATTTGAGGTACTGTTTTACTCTTTCCTATGGCCATACTTAGCCACTCCATTCCGGCAGCTCTGTCTATGTTTTTAAACTATGTCTGACTGCACTACAAAATAAAATCAGATAAGGGTCTCTAGCGTTTGATAAATGGCTTATTAGCTGATCCTCTTGGCTGCTAGAGTGAAATTCATCAGCAGAAATCTGCCAACTTTTCCAAACACAACCACAATTTGCAACTACTCAGAGTAGCTAATGGCCAGGGTCTCTGTTTCTTTTTTCTTTTTGTTTTTTTTAATGGAAATGGATTCCAGGAGAGGCCTTCAAAAGCAGTGGCTTTGCTGTTTGCGTTGTGTGAGTATCATTAGTCCTTCAAGGACTCGGAGCTGAGCACTCCCCTCTCTTTGGATCTGTCTTTACCTTATTGTGTATCATCTTCTAGATAATCAAAGGAAGGTGACAGCCAGCCACCAAAATGTACATGTAATGAAAGACATCAGCACCGGCACTGCCACTCATTTTCTATTCTCAGCTGGTGAAGGAGTTTCTGAGACTTTACAATGTCCATATTTTAGGCTAAATATGAAAATTGCAAGAATTTTCTTTCCATGGTAAGTGACATGTAAGGCTTCATTTTAACATTCATATACATTTATTTGCCATGAGATATTCAGGAGATCTCGACTATGTCAGAAAAGAAAACGGAGACTATTAAGAGAACTTCCCCTGCAAAGTGGCCAGTGAACTTGGACGGAACACTGCAATCAAAGGAGAACGAGGGCTTGGTCCAGGCGATTCACATTAAAACAAGCACCCTGCGGGTGCACCCCCAGAAACACAAAAGAAATCCACAAAAATGGTATCAAAAAATTAGGGATCACATTATTACATCTCCCCTGCTCCTCAAATAAAAATTAGAAGTAGCAGTCATATTCTTGGGGAAATAAATGTTTTGGGCTGCTCTAATCCAACACTAACACTTTTCTCATTATCATTGTGTTTACACGTTGGTGATAATTACACACGATTCAGTTGTGCTGTCAAGCACGTTCTCTGTTCTGGTGGGCAGGGTCAGAGTTAGATGGTGCCACTTCTACATGCTACTTAGTCATAAATATTTTTGATGGGATAATTTTCTCCATTTTTTTTTTGAATCACTTACTGAAAAAATAGAGGAAGGAAAGGTAGAAGTAAACATATTGTTAT